CCAGGTCTGGGACTTGAACCACAGTCAGCCATGTGGGAGTTCAGCTGCTTTAACCACCACACTACCTGCAGGCCCCACTTGCCATGTTTTCTAAGCCTCTGGGTCCAGAACTCAAACCATGCAGTCAGCCATGTGGGACCACACCACTGGCTGACCTCAACATAACTAAATTTGTATTAAGGAATGCTGCCACATTATTGTCAGGTCTTTGAACCCACAACTAAAAGCTTGTTCAGGAAATTCTCCATATTAAGATCACTTTGGGAGGACCAGCAGTTGGCCTAATGGCTATGTTGCTGGACTCCCATGTAGCCGACTGCGGTGTGAGTCCTGGACCCGGTGGCTTAAACTCACGCTGGGCGCGTGTGCGTGCATGCCCAAGATCCCAAGAGGAGAATGGAGGAGAAGGGATTGCGACTTGACTATCCCCCCTGGGGAGTGATTTCTCGCTTTCTGTGTTTCTGTTTCTCTCTGTCTTTCTGGCAAGTGCACGTACCCCCGATAGCAAAAAAAAAAAAAAAAAATTAGTTTGGGAGCAATGAAGCTCAAAATTTGAATTATAAAATGTCAGTATTTGGGCAAAAAGAGCCTGGTTTTCTAAAAGGTTTAATGCTTGGTTTGGGGAGGGGAAATAATAGGAAATAACACAATTTTTTAAATATCTGAAGTTTGGATAGTATTATGTTAAGCAAGTGTGTGAGAAAGAAAGACTCATAGGCTAGCCGCAGACTTGCTCAGCAGTAAGACCGAGGCCACCTGCTTGGGAGAGTAGACCACAGGCGTGAGACAAACAATGCAGTCAGCCGTGTGAGAACCGGCCACCCTAACCACCGTGCTACAGGCTGGGCCACGAGTGGTCTTTTCAACAAATGGTGCTAGTTCACATGTGAGGAACGAAGTTGGATCCTTACCTCACATCATACATAAAAGTTAACTCAAAATGGATCATAGACCTCCATGTAAGGGATAAAACTCTTGAAACAGAAATAGATCTTCATGGCTTGAGCTTCAGTAAAACCTTAACTAATGTACCAAAAGCATAAGCAACCAAAGAAAAAAGCAGATAAATTGGACTTGATCAAAATTAAAAACTTGGGGCCAGCCCCATGGCCTAGTGGTTAAAAGAGCTGGATCCCATGTGGCCAATATGATTGAAATCCTAGCCTCAGCAGCCTGAAAAACGTGCTGGACTATGCATGCCCCAAGTCCTGACAGGGTGGAGAAATGAAGGAGAAAGGAGTATAGTATGACCACACCTCATGGCGGGGTGCTTTCTCCTTCCCCCTCTGTCTCCCTCTCGTGATCACATGTGCTCTTTGGCAGTTAAAATAGTAAAAGCCTTTGCATTGTAACAATACCATCAAAAATGTGAAAAGATAATCCACAGAATGGGAGAAAATAGTTTGTAAATAGTTTATTTAATAGAGGTCTGATGCCCAGAATATGTAAAGGAGTTTTACAAACCAGTAAATCACTGTTTCTCTTTGTCTCCCTGGAGAACACACATGCCCTATAGCAAAAATCTCTTAAATAAATAAAATAAACTATGGTCTATGAAAAAAAAATTAGGAGCCAGCTGGTGGCACGGGTTCAGGCAGCTGGATCCCACATGACTGACAATACCAGACTGTTCAAGTCCTGGACATGGCAGCTTAAAAAACATGTTGGCTGAATTTGTGTGCATGCCAAAATCCTGAAAGGAGAAATGGAGAAGGGATTGTAGTGTTGCCATCCCCTATGGGGGGGGGGGGGGGGTGCTTTCTCACTTTTTCTTCCTTTCTCTACCCAGTGAGTGCACATACTCTCTAGAAATTTCTTTTATTAGAGGGGAAAAAAAACCCTGAAACTTTATATTCAAACAATAACTCACTATTTCCTCCTCTTCCCAACCACTCGCAGCCACTGTCTGTCTATCACTGTGATTTTGGCTATTCTAATTATCTCATGTAAGTGGACTCATACAGCATTTGTCTTTTCGTGACTGCCATTTTAATTTTTTTAATTTTTAATTTTTTTAGAGAGAGAGATTTTTGCTATAAGGCATATGCGCTCTCTAGAAAGACAGAGAGACAGAAAGCAAGAAATCAGCCCCAGAGGGGATGGCCATGTTGCAGTTCCTTCTCTTCTATTCTCTCGGGACTTTGGACATGCACGCACATGCACCTGGCATGAGTTTTAAGCCACTGGGTTCAGGGCTTGAACCACAGTTGACTATATGGGAGTCCAGTGACATAGCCATTACACCATCTGCTGGTCCCTTAACTTTTTAAAATAGAGGTTTTTGCCTTAAGGTGCATGCACTCCAAAGAGAGACAGAGAGAGGGAATGTGAAAAATCCCCCTCTATCCCAGGGGGATTACCATGCCAAAATCCCTTCTCCTTTTTTCTCCTCCTGGGATCTTGGGCATTGCACACACATGCCCCTCAGTGTGATTTTCAATCCACCAGGTCCGAGACTCAACTACAGTCAACCATGTGGGAGTCCAGCAACATAACCACTACACCAGGTGCTGGCTGCTTTAAAAAAAAAAGAAAAATTATCTATTCGTGTGCAATGATGTTGATCTGTTGTTGATTTTCAAGTCAGCAGGACCATGGTCAGCTATGTGAGAGTCCAGCACCTTGACCACCATGTCACCTATTGGCTCGTGACTGTCTTCTTTTATTTGGCATAATGTCCTTAAAGTTCATCCATGTTGCAGCATAGGCCAGAATTTCCTTCCTTTGTAAGTCTGAATGATATTCCATTGTATGGATGTATCGCAGTTTGTTTATCCATTCATCTGTCAGCGAACACTTGGATCGCCTCCACATTTTAATGATCATGAATAATGCACTTATGTGCCTGTACACCTGTCTCTTCAATCCCCTACTTGAGTTTTTAGGTGCATACTCAAAAGGGAATTACTATATCATATGGTAATTCCATGTTTAATTTTTTGAGGAGCTGCCATACTGTTTTCCACAGCAGCTGTTGAGTTATACTCTTTAAATGGATGAAGTATCTCAGTAACCCTGTAAAAATTTTAGAAATGACGCAAAATCATATAGCCAAGAGTACATATACATTGAAAAGAGGCTGCTGTTTGAGTATTTAAATGTTTTAAGTAATTATACCCAGGTAGTGGGGTTATGGGTGTTTTTTCCAATGGATATGCACTGTTTTTATAATGAGGGAAAACAAGCAAACAAATGTGAGGAAAAGACCCTTCATTCTGCCTTCCTCAGGCCACGCTGTTCCTTGTAAATCTCTCATGGCACCAGACTGTGCACTTAGAGGGGCAAAACTCTCTAACAAATGCCAGGCTCACCTTCCTGCTGTTTGTGATAAGAAATTGTGCACCATAAAGTTAAATGATCTGTACAGTTGTACTTCACATTAGCTGTAGGGGTTAGTTTTAATAAAATATATCCCAAGAGCTACTCAGTTTTGATACACTTGCTTCTACTTTGTGCCATTGGGCTCCCCAAGGTATTTTTTTTTTTTTGGAAACCATCTTTGGAAAGTTACCATTTTATATAAATGTGTGTATATAGTTGAAACAGTAAAGTAAATTTTCTCCTCGCACTTCTACCTGTAGCCAAGTGGCAGTATTAGGAAATGAGTCCACATCTATTCTTTAAGCTCTTCAGTTTTTATGATATTCATTGGAAACGAGTTTTTCCTTAGGGAGCAGCCTATCAAATCCTGATTTTATTCCCAAAGCTTCTTTGATGCATCGTCAGTGTTGTGCTGCTCTTGGATTTTTCTTGGTTCTACTGAGTCTGTGGGGAGAAGGCTGCATTAGAAAAGGGAACTGTGGAAAAGGAAAAGCAACCTGCTTGTCAGTTATTTCAGAAATCTGTAGGCCACATCACATGCCATTAGCCAGGACAGGCGTTGTGAAATGGCCTTTGTTTCTT